GGTCAACTGATCCATGGGCTCATCAGCAGGCACCATCAACTATGGTCTGTTTGTATGGTCGGGGGGCTCAGTATTAGTGGGGTAAGGTAACTAATACTTGTGTTCGGTTTGGCCGTCGTGTTGTGGATGGTGTGAAGAGGACAGGGCCATCTTGGTGCGTAAGTATTTCGCTACCCCTTTCCAGAAATCCGAAGTCCAACAGGGATCCCTGTCACAGATGATACTTTCCGGAAGCCCGAAGCGGCACACTACTTTTCTTACAAAAAGAGCGCCAAAGTCTTCAGCGTTCAAACCTGTCGTAGTGGGTGTGAATGTGCCGTGCTTAGTAAGTCTGTCGACAGTGACGTGTATTGCGTTGAATCCTTCTGACCAGGGCAAGTTTACGATGAAATCCATCGCGATCGATTGGTAAGGACGGCTAGGTATGGGGTTTGGGATGAGATATCCATATCTGTTGAAGTTGGAGGGCTTGATTTTCTGGCAAACATCACAGGTCTGTACAAATTTCATAAGGTCGGCTTTCATTCTTTTCCAATAAAACTTGCTGCTTAGTTTCTGCCATAGTTTCTCTAAACCCTGGTGTGCCCCGTCGTAGGCTTGCTCATGGGCCTCCTCCATTATCAATCTTCTCTGATTGAGCGGAACGCAAAGCCTTGGTTGATAATCTGCATCCCGGAAGAATAGCAAGCCGTTTTCGTCTTTGAAAAAGCGATGCCCGGGGATCCAGGTTTCCACACTGGACTTAGGGTCGTCACTAGTATCAACCATTGTTTATGAAAAAGTCTGGGCAAGTGCCTGCACAACTTTTTGGACACTGCCTAGGTTTTTTATGAAATGAGAAATGTAGGGCAAGCATTATGAAATGTGTTTCATTCCCTCCCATAGTTGTTTCATATCTATTTTATTCCTTCCCTATACTTTTTCATAACTATTTCTTTTTTATCTGGCCATTTATTTCATTGCCCCTCAGTCCCATTTCTTTGTTGCCTAGCCTTTCATTTCATTGCCTCCCCAGGGTTATTTCTTTCCTACCCAGCAATTTCTTATTGTTGCCTAGCTATTTCATTTCATGTTTGCCTGGTAATGGTTTCATTCTTTTATTTCATTCTTGCCAGGGCAATACATATTTAATTAATTATATGAAATAACAGGGCTTTAATTGTCAAATGAGTATGATATTTGTTATGCTTGCTAGTAGAGGGTGTGGGCCCCATTTCTACATAACTTTCAATTTGAGACCATAATATGATAAGGGTGCAAAGAGATAAGCAAGGTAAAGACATTTTACAAGGCATCACATGTATTACATAATCAAGTCCCAGGAAGATATTTACAACTATGAAATGAAATAGCTAGGCAACAATAAGAAATTACTGGGTAGGAAAGAAATAATCCTGGGGAAGCAATGAAATTGCTCATTGGGTAGGAAAGAAATAAATGAAATGAATGGCCAGGTAGAAAAGAAATAGGTATGAAAAAGTATAGAGAAGGAATGAGATAGATATGAAACACTATGGGAGGAAATGAAACACATTTCATAATGCTTGCCCTACATTTCTCATTTCATAAAAAACCTGGGCAGTGTCCAAAAAGTTGTGCAGGCACTTGCCCAAATTTTATCATAAAAGTGGTAGGTACCACTCGGGTCGTCCCACAATTTAGATAGGTGAGGATCCTCGCTGTAACCTTTAATCCATTCTTGCGTTACCCCTTCTTCGAGGTGGACTAAAACGTTAGGTGGAGGATTCGTCGCACCCCAATATTCGTCAACTTCATTAGTCGGGGCGGTCGCGCTCACGTTTTCAGAGAGTTCGGTTAGAGGTGTCGATTCTTCCTCCAAGGTGTTGTCTTTCCGACTTTTGCTCCTTGTGTTGATAGCGACTACTTTTATCTCTTCCAGGCAATCGTTGATGCTGAATGCCATAAACGCTGCCTTGCCTAATGAGGGATTCGAGGAGAAATCGATATGTGTAGGACTCATCTCCAAGGCCACGGTGTCGTCTCTTGCGGGGGAGTCTTGTGGGGGAGGGGCTCAGTAAAGCCTTGATAAAGGGTCGACGTTCGAGTGCTTTCTGCCTGGCCGGTGGACAATGGAGAGGTTCGGCTCGTATGCTGAAAAAATCGTTCCCCAGGCTGCTAAGCGTCTGTTGGAATTTTTGTAGGTCTTCGCCCATTGCAAAGCGGCATGGTCAGTGATAAGCGTAATTTTCTCTCCCTCAATAAAAGGCTGAAACTTTACTAGACCCTCCTTGGCGGCCAAGGCCTCGCGTTCGGTGGTTGAATAGCGCGTCTCGGCTGACTTAAAGGTTCTTGACCAATACGCAATGACGCATTCGACATATACTAACGTTTCATCGAATGTTTTTCCCCAGGACTCAGCCGTAAGACTATCATTCAGACTTGAAGGTAATTGCACCACCAATTTAGGTGGGTTTTTTCCCGCTTCGAATGCTTTCCTCAACTGATCATACAATCTTGTATTTGCTAGATCCTTGATGGCTATTGGTTGAACCTGCTGTAGGGCGCAACCTAGAGCCTCATCCGACGCATCAGTATACAGCCGGTATGGTAATCCTTCCAATGGATGTCCTAGTACTGGAGCCTCTTGGAGAGCGCTTTTGATGGAATTAAACGCTGTCTCACATTCCGCGGACCAGACCCACTTCGCTCCTTTACGAAGTAGCTGGAATAAAGGGTAGCAGCGGTCGGAGTAATAAGGAATGAATGCTGAGAAGTATACGGCCATGCCTAAAAACGTCTGTAGTTGGGATAATTTTGTAGGGCTCTGCAATTCTAGAATGGCTCGGACTTTCTCGGTATGCGTGGAGAGTCCTAAGCGTGAAACCTTGTGGCCTAAAAGTAAGATGGATGAATAGAACAGATGACATTTGACAGGGGATAGCGTGATACCCGCTTGTTCGATAGCTTCAAGAACTTTATCCAGGTGGTCTATATGGTCTTCATAAGTTTTTGAATAGATCACGATATCGTCTATGTAGACTAAACAGAAAATCCATAGGTAAGGGGCTAAGATCCCTTGCATCACGCGTTGGAAGATAGAGGGCCCGTTCCGTAACCCAAATGGCATTCGTTTAAACTGAAACAGCCCTCTGTGAGTTCTAAAAGCTGTTTTCTCAACATCCTCTTCGTCCATTTCCAGTTGGGTAAAGCCCGAGAGCGCGTCTAATGAGGACAGAACTTGTGCGCCTGATAACGACGATAAGATTTCCGATTGTCTTGGAATAGGAAATTCGTCAGGTATTGTTGCTGCGTTGAGTTTACGGTAGTCAACGCAGAACCGCGGCTTGCCATTCCGATATGCAATTACGACCGGAGCGCTCCAGGGACTCTTGGAGGGTTCGATCACGTCCAATTCAAACCACTTGTCTAGTTGTTCGTCCATGACCGCCCTTTTCGCGGGTGAAGCCCCGTACATTGGTACGGCGATTGGGACTTGTCCATCGACGGTCCTGATGTGGACTTTACTCGGGTGGTGTCCCAGGCGTCCGTCGAATCCAAAAGCCCTCTGGCGTTTCTTCAGCATCTGCCAAGCTCTTTCCTTCAGATTCTCTGGTAAAGACCCTACGTCCAGGTACTCTTCCATATTTCGGGAGGGATAGTCTGTTAAATCAGGGAGTTCAGCTGTTTTAGGACCGAAAAGTTCAGGCTCCTCTGGTTCTTTTGGCTCATCCTCCTCTCCTTTCGTATTTTCACTGGTAGCGTCCTCTGGAGGCGGTGACTGATGGAGCTTGTCGTTTGATATGGCGATAATAGCCGCTACCGCCTGTGCAGATGTAGCCAACTTATCAAATTCTTCATGGGTATGAGGTACATCAAAGAATTCTTCTGGATCGGACAAATAGCCGATGATGTCGCCCTTCCTGATGACTTTCGGATGAGGGGAGGGATTAGAAACAGGGACCCATGGGTCTGAAGCGGAAATAAGTACGTTCGGCACTAGGAATGGCGAGTCGTTGGCGGAAGCTAGTACGTTTTTCTCGACCAACCAAGTCCTATCTTCTTCAAAATGTCCCTCTAAACGGATCCGTCGACATTCGTCTGATTTTATACGATAGTCTTCGGCAGCTCTCACTGTTCTTTGTTCTAAACCAAGTCTCTTCTTTTGTCTGGATTTCTTGGCTTTATTCCGTTTATGAAGCTTCGATTTAACAAAGCTAGCGGCAGCGCAAGCACTCTGAAAAGCATTCGTGTGTATATTATGCGTCTAAGAACGAAGTCCGAGGGTGATTCACGCTCATGGTTTCTTTCACGGAATGTCTGGGAGTTATAATAATTGTTCATTTTAATTTGCCATCGGTGCCCTAGGTAACCGTCCTTGACGCCTTTCAGAAATTTGAGGTAATGAGAGCGCATATAGCTCTGGTGGGTGGTCGGTAAAGTAACGAACCACTTTTTTACTGGTGAGCCATCCTTTAAACGAAACCATAGCCAATAACCGAGTGCCTCCGGGATCCATCCCCCTAGATGCGCTAGTTGTTGAACCTGCCAGAAGTATTCGATAGCAGTCCAGTGATTGCCGTCCCATTCCGGCAATTGTTCCACTTTGAGTTCGGTTTTCATTGTAGCTGGCATATTGCCATAAGGCGCAGGAGGTCCGAATTGATTTCCGTTTCCTGGATAAGGAGGTTCTCCGCCACCTCCTCCTCCTCCGGGGTTGCCGCCTCCTCCTCCTGAAGGTGGTTGGCCACCTGGTGAGGGGAAGTTAGGATTATTAGAAAGAGGGGGATTCGGAGAAAATCCTCCTCCATGCCCTC